TACAACCGTTGTATCCACTCGTGATTGTAAGTATGCGTTTTAGATTATTTTGTTACAAATACAATAAGAAATTAAAATTTTAATACAATATTACTTAGTTAATTTTCATGATATTTAAGCATAGAATATATGTATTGCAGCTACAATGTACAAACATGCTAGGAGTTGGATGTATGACAACCACTTAGAAAATAAAGATTCGTCTGATAAATTTGACAGTGGCGTTGAGGATTTCATTACATTTTCATGTGAGCATCCGACATATATGGATGGTGCTAAAATAAGGTGTCCATGTAAAAAATGTAAGAACAAGGCATATAAAGATCAAGAAGATGTTCGATGGCACCTATACAACTATGGGTTTATTGAAAATTATTATAATTGGACATCACAAGGTGAACCTATTCATCATGAGCGCTTCGTTGAACGAGAGAATTTATTGGCCGCTATGTCTGGCAACAATCCCACTCAATGGAATGATTATGAGAATATGAACTGGGATCAAAGGATGGTAAACGATGCTATTGGTGTGCATAATGTTCCAGAGCATTATGATAGCTCCCCAAACACAGATGATGGAAGTCCCAACAAGTCATTTTCAGCACCAACTTTAAATGACTCTCCAGATCGTTTTTTCCATGTGCTCGAATCTGCGGACCGACCTCTTTATGGATGTGGTACAAAGTTCTCACAACTGCAATTTGTGTCGAGATTAATGAGCATCAAGGCTGACCATAATTGGTCAGAGGCTAGTGTGACCGAACTTTTGTTATTGCTTAGAGATGCTCATGAAGGCCCTAACACCATCCCAGAGAGTTTTTATGCGATGAGAAAATTAGTATCAGATTTAGGCCTCCCTGTCCATCATATTGACACTTGCAGATCGGGATGCATGTTGTTTTGGAAAGATGACAAGGACTTGCACCATTGCAAGTTTTGTGGAGAAGAAAGATACAAGAACCAGAAAGGTACAGGCGATGGTGAAACAGGTAAGTTGACAGCTGTAACCACGCTTCGATATTTGACACTTGCGCCAAGGTTACAAAGACTATATGCTTCTGCTGTTACTGCGAGTGAAATGACGTGGCATAAGAATCACGAGTCACAAGAAGGCATGATGTGTCATCCATCAGATTCACCGGCATGGAAGCATTTTGATACCACATATCCTAGATTTGCTAAAGAGGCACATAATGTTCGTTTAGGGTTATGTACTGATGGATTTGCACCACATGGACAATATGGTAAAAATTATTCATGTTGGCCAGTTATATTGACTCCTTACAATCTTCCACCTGGCATGTGCATGAAAAGTCCATATATGTTTTTAACGCTGATAATTCCTGGACCAAATAACCCTAAAAACAAAATTGATGTATACATGCAACCATTAATTGATGAATTGAAGATGTTGTGGGATACAGGAGTTGTTACTTATGATGCCGCACGTAATGAATTATTTAGGTTGCATGCTTGTATTCTATGGACAATTAGTGACTTTCCTGCATATGGTATGCTTTCTGGGTGGAGTACGGCTGGGATAATGAGTTGCCCTATATGCATGGAGAATACGAGTGCCTTTTATCTAAAGTATAGTAGGAAGCCATGTCACGTTGATTGTCATAGGAAGTTCTTGCCTCTTAATCACTTTTATCGAAAGGATAACACGTCTTTTTTAAAAGACAAGATAGAGAGAAGTGCACCACCACCTCGTCTGAATGGAAGAGAACTTTGGGCGCGTGTCAGATCCATTCCATCGGCAATAGAAGAGCCCAATGAAAAACCAAGTGGGTATGGAGTAGAGCATAAATGGACTAAACAAAGCATTTTTTGGGAGCTTCCATATTGGAAAAACCTACTTATTAGGCACAACTTGGATTTGATGCATACTGAGAAGAACGTTTTTGATGATATTTTTAATACTGTGATGGGTGTAAAGGGTAAAACAAAAGATGGTTTGATGTCAAGAAAAGATGTTGCTTTGTATTGTAGTCGTCCTGAAATAGAGGTTCAAAGCGATTCTGTGGGGCCTATAAATAAAGCCGTGTACACAGTTACCCATACGCAAGCCCAATGCGTTTTGGAGTGGATTACGTCCCTACAATTTCCAGATGGATACATGTCAAACTTAAAAAGATGTGTGAACTTTGACGAGTCACGCTTAATGCATATGAAGAGTCATGATTGTCATGAGTTCATACAAAGGCTTATACCTATAGCATTCAGAGAGATGCTTCCGCCTCATGTTTGGGGTTGCCTTACCGAGATTAGCATGTTATTCCAGACATTATGTTCAGTTGTTCTTGATACCACAACTATACAAGATCTTGAAAGGACTGTACCTATACTTATGTGCAATATGGAAAAGATTTTTCCTCCTGCATTTTTCGATCATATGGAACACCTCATTATTCACTTGCCATATGAAGCCAAGGTAGCAGGTACAGCACAATACAGATGGATGTACGTTTTTGAAAGGTATTTATTAAAATTTATTAAAAATTGTATATATATTTAAGCTTTTTGTGCAAACTAACATATTTAATGTGTATTTTGTATTGTAGATTCCTTCGAGAGCTGAAGAAAAAGGTGAAAAATAAAGCACATGTCGAAGCATCTATTTGTCAGGCCTATATAACAGAGGAGATTTCGACATTTGCGTCATACTACTTTGAGAGTCATGTAAGATGCAAACGACGACGTGTTGGAAGAAATGATGATGGTGGAGGTACAATCTCAAGGCGAGCTTTTTCAATTTTTAACTATCCTGGTAGAGGATCTGGCAAAGAGCATCATCGGTTTGTCGTTGGTGAAGAGTTACATATCGCACAAACCTATGTATTAGTGAACTGCCCTGAAGTTGATCCATATTTAAGGTAAAAAAATCATAATCTTTTTTATTTTCCTTTTAATGTGTTAAACTTCAAGAAGTCTAAGTTCAAAGATCACGAACAGGCAATTTATTGAAAACTTTCAAGGCCAGGATGAAAGTGAACTCGATAAACAGATATCTTCTCACTTTGCACAATGGTTCAAAGATCTTGTAAGTTGATGTACCCATTTTGATATATTGTTCCTTGGTTGTCACTTGATAATGAAATATACATATATTTTGTTTTAGGTACATTCTCCTGTTAATTGTATTAGTGATCCACTTTTATCTTCTCTGGCTTGGGGCCCAAAATCCCGTGCAACTACTTGGCCTATGTATTTCATTAATGGATATAATTATCATACTGTTGAAAGGGGCTTGAATAAAGCAACATACAATAGTGGTGTGTGTGTCCGTTCTTCCAATTACGCCAATTCTGATACTGATTGGTATGGCTCTCTTGAGGAAATTATCCAGCTCGACTATCCTGGCCCACTGGGATTACATGTTGTCTTATTTAAATGTTCATGGATTGATCCTATTAGAGGAGTGAGGAAACATGACAAGTACAACATTGTGGATGTTAATTTCAAGTATGGTGTACAAAGTGAACGAGCCATTTATTCTAGCACAACAAGCTGCTCAAGTTTACTATGCAAGTTATCCATCTGTGAGAAAATGAAGTGATTGGTTATGTGCTTGCAAAACAAGTGCGAAAAGGACATTGATTGAAAATGTGAAAGAAGATGAATTTGCATATCAAACAGATGAGTCAGATGCGGTGCCTCAAATTGAGCCGATTAACGCAATGCCTCCTTTGCGTGATCCGAGTGGTATGGAGTTGCATGTGGATCTTGAGGATGCCATTGAGTCTACTAATCCCGATCAAGATAATTCCGATGATGATGAAGGTCAGGATCCTGATGAAAGTGAAGATATGGAGGTAGAAGTTGAAGATGAAGGGTTTTAGTAGTTGTTTTTCACTCTTTGAAATTAGTATAGCTATTCTATATACATTAGTTTGTTATTCTTTAAAATTTTTTAATGAAAGCTATTTTGCTCCATTTAATTGTCTTCTATTTACAAATCTTAATGAGACGATAAGCTTATTTTATTATCTCAGTCAAATTAATACAAAAATAAGAAAATTTGTACGATTTAAATCATATAGGACAATCACACTAAATTGGACTGGTGTATTTATTTGAATGTGTTTAAGATCTCGAATGGACATAAACAGAATTGATTAGACATTAACTAATCAAATGAGACCTAGGATGTGTTTACTTGAACTAAAAATTTCTAATCTGGTCTGATTTGACATGTTTATGTTTCGTCTAAAAATTGCAAAGTAAACATTTTTTGGTCAACCAATGTTAAAGTTAAATCTTTCTTATTAATAATTAGTTCTGTTTTAATAATTAAAATTTACTTATTCGGAAACTAAACTAAAATTTCTACAAAGGTCCATAATCCAATTTAAAATTTAATTGAAAATTGATATCCAGATTAAGTGAATAAAATGACTCTAATTGATCTAAAAATCAATTTTTCAACTCAATTTGGAACGGAGAGTAATGCATAAATAAATAAAAACTCACATGCTCCGTATTTAGAGCCCGTTTGGTAGTACCAAAATCGGCTAATTTTGCTGATTCTGCTGAAATTTATGAAGTTCTAGCTGAAGTGGCTATATTGGCCGATTCTGTTGATTTAAGGAAAAAATATTTTTAAAATATATTTTATTAATAAAATAAAGAAAAAATTATATGTAAAAATAGCTAAAATGATCATCTATAGTAACATAAGCCAATACAACCAGAAAAGTAACTTCAACCTTACTTTTTCTGCTTATTACACAATTCAGCGCGCGAAAACAAAAGTTACGTGTTTGGTGAAAAAGTTGACTGATAAGCCTGATAACCCGAAAAACAGTGCTGCCAAACGTATAAAATATTTTTTTTAATCAATAAAAAACTAGCTTTCGATCTCCTTCAATGTATTTTTTTTTCATTTTTCATGTTTAATTTATACCATAAGAAGGATAAAATGTAAATCAAAATGAAATTCCCTTAAATAAATTCTCCCACTTATTTGAGATTTCAGCACTCCCTCCAAATTTTGCCAAAAAAAAAGCACTCCCTCCAAATCACAATCCCACTGAACTACAAGTCTACAACCATCTCATGTGCCCATACTTTCCACTACGTCCTAAAATTTTTCCCCAACAACTATAGCCTACCGCCAAACGAGGAAAAACAGAGACTAGCATAGTTGCGTCTGAATGGTCTGATACATCCGCGGTCCGCCTTAGCTTCGTCCACAACTCCAGACTTCGTGCTCAGCCGTGTCCCTCACGTCTGGACTCTCCCGTCCTCGCCACGCCGCGGCCCGCCCTAGGTTATTTCTCTCATCTTCCGAACTCCAAAGGCCGGTTGCCTATTTCCTTGTTTGGTAATTACTTTAAAATTGAATTCTTTTGATTACTTTAATTGCTTATTCACTTATTTGCTTTAATTACTTATTTTCTTTAAAATTGAACTAAAAAATATGATAAAAGTTTCCAAAAGTGATTAGTCGTTTAGGATTGATTGAGGTGTGCAGACGTTTGGGTTTTTATCCGGTTCAATTCTGATCTGTGCGTGAAGTGTATTTATGTTCTTTGCATCTCTTCCTTTTTGTAGTTTTACTTTACCGTATTGATCATCAAAAGGAAGGTGTTTCATAGTTTAGCTGAAGGTGTTCATGCTGTTTTACTTTAGTCTGCTTTGTAAACTTGAAATAGATCCTACGAAATCCCGTTGTTCTTGTGTATTCAGAGTTAGGAGTTCTCTTTCTCTGTGTTCCCGTGTTTTGAGATTTGTGCTTTCAAACCAAATATGCATTGCTTTAAGAAACAAATCTAAGAATAAAATTCAGGAGTTCTCTTTTTCGTATGCTTTAGGAAATTAGGACTATACTTACTAACACCAGTATTAGTAAGTATACATAATTGTGTCCATCCAAATAGTTAATAAGTTCATTTTTACCTTCTTATTCTGTTTTGGTGCTTTAGTATTTACTTTAGAATCTACTAAAGTATAAACTTAGAAAAACATTAAAGGGAATACTCTGGGTGTGTAAAAACAGAACCAAATGATTAATCATCATACTTATTGTGTGAAATCTAAGTTCTGTAATACACAATGATAATAAAGTATAACTTTGGAGTAGCTGTTCCATGTGGTTTTAGTATAGGTGGAGTCATTTTATGAAGAAGAAAGAATAAGGTCAAGTCATTTATTTAGTTATTCCATGTGATGCAGTTTATATTGATAACTGAAATGTGTGTCTCTGTGACAGAGCTGTCATTTTTAATAAGTAAATAAAGCTGCTCTTAATTTAGCTTTTGTTTCTTTGTCTTTCTGTATAGAGAACTACAATATCATATTCATTGGCTATCATTATCGTTTCCTTGCTGCATCTTAAGTTTCTTCTTGAATCTTGATTCGTTAGTAACACTTGCGTGGATGAGGAGAAACCGTATGTTGCTTTCGTATTATTTTGATTGATATGGCTGTGGATCACCCATTCCTCTGTTGATTAGTGAATACAGTTGGAAATTAGAACAAGTCTAAAAGATTTTAGTACCATTATAATTGAATGGGAGCAATTTCTAATGTCTCTGGTGGTGATTATTAATGTTGCATTAAGGTCTAGGTAGTTGGAGATTTTCTCATGCCTCCTGGTCTGAACTAGCTTAGAACTAGTGTTTTTTTCTGGGGGTACAAGAATTAGGTATATTATATAGCTTAGGTATATTAGGTATGAGAATTGATACGGATAGATTATATTAAACCTGGTAGTGTCTCATTTAGTATATATACTTAAGATATTTTAATTTAATCGTGTTAAAATATTTGTAAGATAATTCTTTCAAACAGGACATGCGGACACGTGGTGGACGTGATTTGTATGCACCGAATCGACATACCTCTCAATCTAAAGGAAGGAATAACTTATCATCACCCTCATCAAATGGTGAACGTGCTTTGTATGCACCAAATCGACATACCTCTCAATCTAGAGGAAGGAATAACTTATCATCACCCTCATCAAGTAGTGCTCTCAATAGATTTCACTACTCAAGTGGGGAGGTAAGTACATCACAAGTTCCAAGTACTCCTACATCACCGTGCGAATCGAATGGAGAGTGGTCTGTTGAAACAAACCTTTTGCCTTTCCCATTATCTGACATGCACATGTTAGTTTAAATGTCACTATATAATCATATAGTTAAAACTATTATTTGAGTCACTTATGTTTAACACATTACTTTTCTCTTCATTTCTACTATTAAAAAGTTGAAAGACTCATAGCGAAATCAAGGCAATCATGAGATCTAGTTTTCATGGACCATGGAGGTCTTATAAAAAAGTGCCTATAGCCGAAAGAGATCATTGGTTCGATGAATTCAGGGTAAATTTATTAATTATCAACTCATTTAATTATTGTGAACTTATTAGTCACTTAGTTAGTAGGGTACATAATTTAAAGTGATTATGTATTTGCAGGTGACTCATATATTTCCGGACTCAACAAAAAAACAGTTCAGAGACTTATTTGACAAGTATGGTAGTCAAGGCCTTAAGAAGATGTTACAAACGCACGATGTGCTAAAAAACCACCAAAATACATAGCTAAGAACGATTGGAAAGATCTTCAAACATATTGGGCTTCTCCAGAGTTCAAGAAACTTAGTGCCAAAGGGAAAAAAGCTCGATCTTCTGAATTGTGCAGAAACAATCCATACTGTGGAGGATCAATCACTACCTTTGATCATAGGAAGAAATTGGTAATTATTTCCTTGGTATTTAATAGCTAAATACAAACTTTGAATTTGTTTCCATTACTAATTTTATTTTTCTAGAGAAAAATACTTGGTAGGAAGGTTCTCATGAGGGAGATCTATGATGTGACATGGAAGAAGAAAAAAACCCGCGAATGGAGTGGCCCGAGGCTAAAGATGTGCTATGTAAGACAATTACTAGATATTTAATACTATGTTTTTGCTAAAAGTAAAATAATTACTAGGGATTAATACGAGTTGTCCGCCATTCATACTCATTGATAGAACTATGTATATTGTATGTGTAGTGTTGTGAATCATTAGTAATAATTCGTTTAAATAATTTGTTGCATGTTGTTTGATATCAGGAAAATTTTGTAGCTGCATGACAAAGAGCGAGAGAGAAAATTAGTGATCATTCACAACCTATAGATGAAGAGGGAATCTTTCTAGAGAACTTTGGATCTCCCACGTGTGGTAAGATATTTGGCGCAGGGAGTCTTTTGAAAGAGGTTCAAAATAAACTACGTGGCAACACTACTACTCCAATGCATTGTGAAGATTTACAAGAGCTACTTGATGCACGTGTCAAAGTTGCACTTAGTAATACTATTCAAGACTTAGAAGGCCGAGTTCAAACCATAGTCCAAGCTGCCGTTGAAGAAGCCGATAGGAGATGGGTTGCTCGATTTGCTGAATATCGTGACTCTTTGAGCTTGTATAACCCCAGGTTTTCTATGGCAAGTCAAGTTGCTTCGACCCAGGCTCTAGCTCCAAATACTTCCACAACTCCATTCCAACAATTTCCATTTCCACAAATGACAACACAAGGCCAACCCTTCTCGAATGACACTATGACTTTTACTGATATGATGAATTTCGGCTCATCCTTGTTCTATACACCTTCTAGAAACTGATTTTTAATTTAGCACTTGTATTTCTCTAGGATGTGATGTTTTTGAATTTCTTGGTTTTTGTGCTTAGACATCGTCTTTAAATTCTTGCATCTCTAGAATGACGATTAATTGCTTTTAGTTAGTATTTGTTTACTTTGTAGTTACATATTCTCCATGTTCTATTAATTTGTATTTAGTTAATTTAGATTTTTTTAATTATTTAAACGTAATTTGCAGTTCCATCATGAAAGATTAATTTAATATAAAATAGTAATTAAAATTCCCCAAATAAATAGTAATTAAAATAATTATAAAAATGTAAATCAAAACTTTAATTTATTTAAACTTAAAGTGAAAAATATACTCACTCAATTAATTTAGTGACAAACATGGTGATAAAATGTGGAGTGCCCGCACCATCCGGCAACGTGAGGGGCGACCGGGAGGTGTATAGTATGAATTTTGTTACCCATTTTGGCACCAATAATAGAGTGAGTAAGTTATTCACCCACATAATTAAGTGACAAATAATTTGGCACCTGGATTTGGCACTAGTTACTATAAGTGACTACAGTGGTGACTAAAATGTTTTGTCACCCGTTTTCTATATTACGAGTGACAAAGATGGTGCCTAATCTCTAGTATTTTTGTAGTGTTGGCTTTTTATCAAAAAAAGCCAAAATATGAAAAGCTATGAATTGTAGCGTTTTACAAATGGTTGTTTCTTATCTTTCATGTATTCCTTTAATACCCACGTGAGTAGGCTAGCACGTCCCCTTTTTTCCTCTGTTCCACACGCCTAATTAACTTGTTGGCGAAGAGAAAAACTGCAACGAAGAGAGCATGCGTGTATGTAATAAAATACTTGGTCCAAAAATACGGAGCATTATATGGAGTATTCTTTTAAGCTACGTAGTATTTCTTTAATTTAGCTTCAATTTGAAGAAGGATAGTCCATTCAATTTGAAGAAAGTTCATGAGCATCTACATACAATTTTATGTCATGATGGTTGCGGTGGTGGTGATGATGATGGTGGTGATGATGATGATGATAATATGGAGTAATAATAATACAAACGGTTTGGAAAGTTATATTATTAATTACATTAACTAAGAATTAATTAATGTCCTTATTAATAGTCATCTATAACAAGTTATCAACCGATTATAAACAACCGTTTAATCAAACATCATTTTACAAACTGCTAATACAATCACCAAATCAAAACAACCAATAAAATCCGCTATTATTAATTGGCCAACAGAATCAGCTAACGGCTAACAGTCAACAGCCAATTGCCAAACACCCCGTTGAATTGTTTCAATGTTTCAAAATTTGATACATGTTATGTGTTCAATAATCCGTTTTTCAGTCCCCAATTTACGCACTTTAACAATTTTAACATGTTTTTACTGTGCTGAACGTAGAGGCTAGGTATAATAATGATTCAAAATGATGATTTTTCTTTTATATTGAAAATTACGTTGGTGCATACGAAATATACGAAATATTCTTCTTGTCAAAAGTTAGCTGAATCGATTCTACTAAAATTTATAAAAAATTTGCTAAAGTGGCTGAATTTGTTAATTTTAATGATTTACGAAAAAATTATATCTAAAATATAGTTTATTAATAAAATAAAGAAAAACCTATACTACTTATGTCCCACTATGTTTGAGATAAAGGAGTGTGGCACAACTTTTAAGAAAAAATAGAATTGTGTGGTTGATATTAAATTGATAAAGTGTGAATAAAGTAGGAATTAATTGTAACCACACAAATATTACCAAATATGGTATGAGACAAACTTAAGGAGACAGACGAAAAAGGTAAAACAGGACAAAGTTAGGGGACGAAGGGAGTACTTCGTATGAAAATTAGTAAAAATGATCATTTTTAACAATTTCAGCCAATATAGCCGGAAAAGTAACTCCAATAGTACTTATTTAATTATTACACAATTCAACACACGGAATAATAAGTTACACATTTATGAAATAATTGGCTGATAAGATTGACAAGCCAAAAATGTGATCATCAAACAACTTTTAGTGAAATTCCAATTTTTCATTTGAGAATACGAGATGATAAGTAGGTTAAACATGCAGATTGATCAATCAACTAGGATACAAATATGCGATGACAATTCAATCCAGGTACACACAAAACATGATCACGAACAACAATTTTAGAGAGGGGGTGCACGACCCTCTAAAATGGCAGCCACTATGCGTTCATCCACCAACCCAACCTAGCGCGCACAAATATGAATGCGACCTGTCAGGCAGGAAATAGCACCCGTAACATAATGAGACGCACCCGTATCAATAATCCAATCAAAGGAATTGCACTTACCTGACATACGATCATAAGAACGAGTTTAATTCAGCATTAATTAAATTTAACAAGGCTTGAACTTGCTCATTGCTCAGTTCGTTCAGCCCATTTATTTCACCTTGAGGAGAGGTATCTACGTCGGGAGCTAGTAGTGAAGAAGACACAGACATGAGTCTTCACCCCCCTCCTCCACGGCTGGCAGTAGCCCCATTGACGCGATTCCGTTCCTCCCACCTTTCCAGATAGCTATGCAACTTAAAGCACGAACCAATGTCGTGCCCTTTTTTTCTTGCAATGGGCGCACGTAAGCTTTGTATGCTCATTCTGATCCTGCCGTCCCTAGTTTTGCCGCTCCACATGGAGTGCAAAGGCGTGAGAACTGAGAATCTACTGCCACCGACTTTCCTCGTGCAATATCACGAGAGTTTTCTTCTTGAAGAAAGGCTTGATATGCTCGATTTAAATTCGATGTTCAACTAACAAAACCTTACGATCGATTTTCATATTGATGAACATTTTGTTAGTTAGATATGCTCATTTGGTAATTTTTTGCTCATTTATAAAATGTCGTATCAATGCATATTTCAAAAGTACTAATATTACATTAAATTCACATATTAAAATTCACAGAAGTCGATTAAATTCGCAAATGTCATATCGTGATGCTCATTGTTATGTTGCTAATACTCAATAGAAGATGTCTAGTTCTCACTAAAGATACATTAATGCTCATTTAGGAGAAACTATGATTTTTACTTAAATTACGAAAATACCACGATTGTGCGGTGTCTACCGTCAGGGCCGAGCCTGGGCCTGTCTGCCCAGCCCAATCGCACAGGACCCGGTATTTTGGAGGGCCCAAAAAAAATAGTATTACCCCAGCCAAAACTTTTGTTTTTAGCCCAAATCAATTCCCCAACCTCAAAATCGTCAAATCCCGTCTTCCCCTGCTCTCTTCCGACTTCCGACTCTTCGCGTCCTGTCTTCGCGTCTTCACGACAAAGGCCAAAGGGACACCGCCGGTCCGCCATGGCACCGCGCCACTCAGCCCACTTCGCCAGACCGCCGTCCACACCGGCAAAGGGACACCGCTCGGCAGTCGGCTGCTCTCCAGTCTCCACGAGGAGTCGAGGACCACGACTCGAGTTCAACCGACGACTCCGAGTCTCCGACGAGCCTGCGCGCAGTCCGACACGCCTCCGCCGCCCTCCGGCCTCCCTCAGACGCCGTCCTTCCGGTCAGTTACTAATTTGCTAATTCTTTTATTCATTTAGTTGCTAATTTGCTAATTCTTGTGAACTTTCAATTTATTGAATATTTGAATTGATGAATTGTTTGTTGAAATCTTGTAATTTGTTTATTTTCAGATTTAATGTTTGTTGAATTGTTGTGTTGTTGTTATTTGTTGATTTTTTGCATTTAAAGTAAATCATGCTTTCACCCTAATTTTAAACTTAATATTAATTTAAAATTTATAAACATGTATAGGATTATAGGAGAATTTCAATAATTGGTAATAATTATGTTTCCATATAAATACCAATCCGGTCATGAAAAGCGTCAAAGGAAAAGAAGACTTGAGGAGTTAACCCAATCTCAATGTGTTAACGAAATGGCTGAGAATTCTGATAAAGAGGACAACAGAATTGATGTTTTAGATGATAGGCCAAATAATTCTGCTTTATTTGACATATATGATCCAAGAAATTGGGATGCTCTAGATTCAAAGTTGACAGACACTTTGGTAGAGAATGGTCCTAAAAGAGATTTAAATTTTGTGGAAGGGCCTAAAGATAAATTCTCTAGAAGATTCTCATCAGCTTTTTACACTAGAAGTTTGCCTAATGGAGAGAAATGTGATAGAGACTGGCTTGTTTATTCAAAGGAGCTTGATAGGGTATTTTGCTTCTGTTGTAAGATTTTTAGAAAAGGTGTAGGCAAAGGTTCTTTAGCTAACACGGGTTTTGATGATTGGGGACATCTTAGTGCTAGACTGAGAGAACATGAAACAGGTGTGGAGCATATGGGTAACATGAGGAGTTGGGTAGAGTTGAGGCTTCGATTACAAAAAAAATGAGACAATTGATAAAGTAGCTCATGATCAACTTTTGAAAGAAAAAGAGTCTTGGAGGCAATTGTTGTTTAGGGTGATTGCAACTGTGAAATATCTTGCTAAGCATAATTTGGTCTTTCGTGGAACAAATGAGCGGCTCCATCAGAATCATAATGGGAATTTTTTAGGATTAATTGAGATGCTGGGTGAATTTGATCCTGTTATTCAAGAGCTTATTCGTCGCGTCGACGATAAGGATACTCATCATCATTATCTTAGTCATAAGATTCAAAATGAATTGATAGAGATGCTTGCTTCAGGAGTAAAATCTAAGATCATTAAAACAATCAAAGAATCTAAATATTTTTCTGTCATACTTGATTGTACTCCTGATTCGAGTCACCAAGAACAAATGACTTTGATATTAAGATGTGTTGATATCTCCTCTTATCCGATTAAAATAGAAGAATTTTTCTTGGAATTCTTGGTTGTGAATGACACGACAGGACTTGGCCTTTTTGAAGTGTTGCAAAGTGTGTTAAAGTCTCTTGATCTTGATATTGATAATGTTAGAGGACAAGGATATGATAATGGATCAAACATGAGAGGTACGCATCAAGGTGTGCAAAAAAGACTATTGGATGTAAATCCTAGGGCATTCTATACTCCTTGCGGTAGTCATAGCCTTAATTTGACCTTGTGTGACATTGCTAATTGTTCTCGAAAAGCAAGAGATTTTTTTGGAGTAGTGCAACGAATCTACACACTCTTTGCTAATTCTACA